GGTCCTCACTGAAGGACTCCCTAGTGGTGGGGTCTTCTGCTTTTTATCATAAGCTGCTCTCAAGGCAACACTTGGTTGGGAAAACTCACCGGCACCCGGAAAAAAAACAGATTTAATGGAGCTGTATGGGGATGGATTGAAACACCCAGCATTTAATGGGAAGAGCACTCCTGCCATCAGGGCTCTTTTTAAAACCCATCCTAGAAGAGTATCTAGGAAAAGCTCTAAGGGCTCTAAAGCACTTAAAAGTAATTACGAAACAGGTCCTATCTGCTTTGGGGGGATTCTGACCGGCCAAGAGCCAGGGGGAGGATGCCCTCAGCATCCCCACAGCAGCACAGGGGCTGTCCCAGCTGTGTCCCAGGGGGGTTCCCACAAGGCGAGATCCCCCTTAAAAGCAAAACCCAACCCACAGGGCTGAAGGAGCCGGAGCTGGTGGCCAAGCCAAGAGCCGCAGGGCCGGTGCCAAGCGCCGGCTCCCTCCTCCCTGCCGGCCAGGGTCAGATGATGTGTGAGGCGAGCCGGGAGGCTCCTAGTCTGGCAGGCAGCCTGCTTTGCTCCAGAGGCTCCAGTGCTGTCATCCTGGCGTTAACCCCTGATAACCTTGTCCTTTCCAGGACAGGATGGTGGTTTTTAGGTAAGTGCCGGGTGGGGAATCGAGTCTCCAATGAGGCTGGGAAAGAAAGGGTGCTCAGAGCGAATAAAAAAGTATTAGAAGGACGTATGCTCAAAAATAAACCAAGAATAAGTGACTTTGAGAAAAAAAAAAAAAAATCCCAAGCAATTGTTTATGCCTGGGACAAATATACAATCCTAGTTCCACAGGAAGATGTCTCAATTTCAGATTATAATAGGATGCCAATTTGTAAATAAAAGCATTTCACAGGAGGTTATAAACTCTGTATGAGAGGGAGGGGGGAATGGGAAAACACAGGCAGGACTCTGCCGGAGAAACCGTGCGGGATCCTGTTTACACGGAGCGATGGAGAGACGCTTCAGGGGCGAATAGCTCCGGATTTGGACAAGGTGCTTGTTCCCCAGCGAGCAGATACCAGCAGGGATCAAAGACATAGTGAAACATTCCCAGCCCGCCCGCAATCCTGGAATGAAATGTCATTCAGCCTAGCGGTTGCTTAAACCTGACAAGGTCTGAGGCGGAGCAGGGAGCAATGATGATGCTTCTCCAGCCTCTGGAGGTTTTTTCCCCCATCTCTTTGGTGCACAGGAGTTGGGAGGGAGAAACTGAAGCTGCACTTGCTGCCCAAGAGTCTCATGGGGAGCCTCGGTTCAGCACCCACCAAGCCATCACCATTCAGTGTTCACTGGCTCCAGAGACCATGGGGCAGTCCCAGAGTCAGGGCAAGTCAACAGGATCGGGGTGAAATATGGGTAAACTCTTGGGTTTGGTATGTTATGAATAGCCTCTATAAATAAAACCCAGTGGAGGTGGCGAGGCCGCAAGCCAGCTCATCTTGCTTTCCTTCTGTGATGGCCAGCTCTGAGTTTCTTGGAGAGCTTCACTATGCCAGCAGAACTAACACTGTTCTGCAGATCTGTCCTGCAGGAAAACCACCTTCTCAACCACTATGGGCACCCCAACCCTACGCCAGCCAACAGCCACCAATCCCACACCATACACAGGTCAAGAGGGAGATGTCCAGGGCTGGGTGAAGAGCCATGGACACCAACCCCATCAAGCACCATCAGCTCCCTTCTACCCTTGGAGCACAGTTTCTCCACGGCTCATATGGGAATTTGGCTCCCACCAATCAGATGTCACTGGGCCATGGGCTGGCCACCTCCACACTCTCCAAGCGCAGCTTTGCCTGTTTGAACGAAGAGTCATAACCAAACACATCTGCTGAGAAGCTCAAAATACAGGAAAAACCACCCTCTGTCTCTTATTTACGGGAATTATTTTTATCTCCAATGGGCTATTTCTGCTCTCTTTAACCACGTTGAAAGGATCTGGAGTAGTAATACCTGAGCACAACCATGTCGGTGGAAGACACCATGAGCTAGGAGTCCTGACCTACCCACAGAGTGACCACTGACAAAAATAAGCACGTAAGAAAACAAATAAAGGCAAGAATATGGAAGTGAGAGGCAGTGCCTTGGAGAACAAGGGGCGAGGGGTACATGAGCCAGAGAATGGGATGGCAGGGGAAGAGACAGCACAGGTGGCATGAGAAGAGGACACCAGCATGGCATAAAGGACTAATCAATTGCATTCCTGGCCCAGGAGGGAAAAAAGTAAGCATAGGCAGGGAAAGAGCAGCTCAGTTATCGAAGGGGGAAACACTCCCCATACATCACCCTCAATCACACTGCTCCCCCTCCCACATCCTCCAGTGCCTCTGGTATCCATCAATGAAACTGCCTTCAGCTTCCGTAAAGAGACTGCAATCCCCGCAGTGGCTGGCCCTGAGACTCCTCATCATCAAAGGATCCTCAAGGGAAGCTGCAAGGGCTCCCTTTTTTCATGCTTCTCTTGCCATCATCCTCTCCACCCCCCATAAAGTTTTCCTGCCAGTGGCTGTGAACCCCAGGCTGGCCCCATTCCCAAACTGTTGGTGCTGAGAGCCACCTGCCCCACTACATCCTGCCCTTCCAGCATCAAGACTTTAGGGCAGGTCTACTCACTTTGAACACTGCTATTACATCAGCATCCATTGCTCATCAATGGTGGCCAAAGCCTATGGTGCTATGGGCACCTACCACCACCATTCACCATGACATCCTCTGCCTCAGCCCCCTGCTCGTTTCCAAACCTACCAAAACCAGTGTGGTTTTGCCTTTCCTAAAGCCATCTTTCCATCAAAGAGCTGCAAATCCCACATGTACAGCCCTGGTCTAGAGGGGATGCTGGATACTCCACCCAGCATCACCATTTCCCACCTGCCCTAATGTAGATAAAACCAAGCCAAAGTGCTCCTCATGTACCCTGCCAATAACTTGTTAAAGCCCTCTTCAAATGCACTCTTCTGCTAACTAAAATATGCAGGAGGCGGGTAGAAAAAAGGAGGAGAAAGTGAGCTTTGGAGGATTGCTGCAAAGTGCGTTTATTTTCCTTTCTCGACTGGGTCTCTCCAGTTGGGAATTTTCAGCGCTGCACTTCTGCGCGCGGAAGGGAGATGCCAGTAAATCAGAGCAAATTCAAAACAAATGCTCTTTCATGTGGAGGCATTCGGCTTTGTTTCAGGGCTTGGGTAGCTAACCGTATCCCTTCATGAGTCAACTCTCCTATCAGCTCCTCATTAAACTAAATGGCTACAATTACATTTGGGGAGGAAAAAAGAGCGGTTAATGATCGTAAAAGGTTCTGTTTCCAGGCTTTGGTGGGGGGGAAACCTTTGATAAGGAAGACAAAAACCCAATTTGATCCAATGAAATAACAGAAGTATAATAAAATAAGTTTAAAAAAAAGCATTTCCAGGGGAAAATGTGCTTTCTTTTGGGGAGGAGGCTCTATCAAGGAGCTGGGGGTCCCCTTCCCGCAGCCCTTTGGGAGGCACCAGGAACGAGCCGTGTTATTTCCTGCAGCCCAAGCCCCCACCTCCCGCCTTCCCTTCGGGAGCAGAGCAGCCAGACGAGATGTTATCAATAGGCTGAACCTTACAGAAAGCCCCCTTTTAAAAGCGAGTACTTCCTCTGCTTATTTCATGTGGTATCCTGTGGAACTGAACTCTCTCCTCCCCTCTGCAACGGGTGTATTTCAGGAGGAAAAAGGAAAAAAAAAAAAAGGATCTAACAACATCCTTATTGTGTTGTTTTGCTTCTTGTCTTTTTTCTTTTTACAGTCCTTTTTTTTTTTTTTTTTTCCTTCCCTAAAGCTATGGGCTCCAATAGCAACGAAATAAAGAAAACCCCAAAAGTATTCTGCACTAAAAAAAATCAAAACAGCGACAAGTTTCTCTGTTCCCTCTCCCCCTCTGATTAATTCTCATTAGGGCCTTTGAACAAACAATATGCTCCCCTCTCAAATAACAGACAGGGTATATATTACACCCAAAGAAAAACAAACAAGGCTCACTTAAAGACATCCACACCAAACGCAGTTCCTGGAGAGAGGCAGGGGCAGATGCACACGCGCGTGCGGCCGCCGCCGACCTATTTCTGAAATTCCAGTTTCAGGGCAATGAATAAATCATAAATCAGGGAGACATTCCCACAAAGGGAACACCTTCAATCATCTGCAAGTACATGCAGGTACACGGTTTCAGACACTTTAATCCTGGTAGAGACAGAGCCCAGCCACAGAGTTGGCCAGTCTGGGGTGAAAGATGAGGTGCTGGAGACATCACACCTTGGAAAAGGTGTTAGGAGTTGGACTAGATGGCCTCTAAAGGTCCTTTCCAATTAAATTAACAGCTCAAGAAGGGTGGGGAATGAACCCCATTCCATTATGGCACCTAGAGGCCAAAGGATATGGCAAATGGGATAATGAGGGAAATCACAGGGTATCTCAAGTTGGAAGGGACCCTTGAGATCACTTAGTCCAACTCCCCCTGCAACATCCCCTAGGAAAATGGGGTCACCTTTTCTCCCCAGGCACCACGATCCTCACATATTGGATCTGGGATGCTGGTTACGCTACCAACAGCAAAGCCCAAGCACAGCTCTTGTCCCAGAGACAAGAGATGCCACCAGCAAGTCAAGGAGAGCTCGACGCCAAATCCTTCTGTAAGGCATGACCGCACCTGCTCTGATAATGAATGCATCCAAACAAATGGGTGGCCAACATCACTCACCCCAAGTCCAAAAGCTAATGGAGCGCAAGGCTGAAATTCAAAGGAAATACGGGGTTTTGGGGACAGAGCCCAGATCTCCTCTGCATGAGGCACATGGCTGCTACTGAAACAAAACCCAATTTCCCCTTTGAGCATGCCTTGCTCAATGATGCACACCCCCAGAGCTCTCCAACATCCCTTTTTCTTTCCTCAGGACCCCTGGTCAACACAACCCACGGTCAAAATCAAGTGCAACAAGAGATGTCTTACCTGAAGGCCCCGCAGGGGCTAGGCAATTAGCTCCCCCTGTTTCAGTGGAGGAAGGCACAGAGTCTGGACAATCTGCGGGAGCAGAGGAGAAGACAAAAACCCATCAGCAAGTATACAGGCGGTTCTGTGCAGGCTCCCAGCATCGCCGCGAGCAGAACACACATTCCAAAGGGTTTAGCAGGAAGCGATTACTAATTGTCCGCGCAGAGACGGTAGTTCATCAAGGAGCATCCACCCTAACTCGCTGCCTCAATCAAGGCTGCGCGTTGCGCTTCATCACCAGCCAACGCTGATTATAGACCGGCAGAAATTACAGACTGGCTGCCACCTCTCTGGCCCAGTCACTGGGTAATGAGATCAGGGCTGCTGTCGTTCTGATGCAAGCAAGCTCCCAAAAACGCTTAAATCGTGGCTTTGCGCACCTGATTTAGGCAACACCTGTAACTCACCGAAATGGGAACCGAAAGGGAAATGTCTCATCGCCGCCCTATCTGCGGCAAACGGTCTCTGTTTTGAGTTCCCCCGCTCGGTTTCGGTCACCACCATCTGGTGGCAGATCTGACACCCCACTGTCACCTCCCGGGGCAGGTGGGCAACTGGGGTTACTCCTCCATGCACCACCAAGGGGAAAGGGCAGGGTTAGATGTGGTGCCCCATTAGAGGTGTTCAAGCTCAAGGTCTGGAGCTTCCCACCCCAAGCCTGCTCCCCCAGGTGACAACAGCCAGAAGCCAACACTGATCCCCTGGTCCTAAAGGCAAACTGAATCCAGGACAGGGTTTCATCAGATCTGGGCTCCTTAACGACATCGTGGTGTTCATGGCTCTACCTCAAAGCAAGGGCCACCACCAGGAGAGCAAGGATAGCCCACCAGGAGAGCAAGGATAGTCCACCAGGAGAGCAAAGATAGTTTTCTCCCTACTGGTAAAAGTAAGTTTTCCCAGATCTCACCCCTGAAATCCAAGTGAATAAGAAATTCCTGTCTGCGTAACCTTGTTTTATCAGAGTAAAGTAGAAGCCCTAACAGGAATATACAGTTTAACAGGATATACTTAATCAAACCGAAAACAATAGGGGAGACAGGAAATGGACTTACTTGTGAAATGCTGTATATGATACACTCTCTAAATGCCTTGTCGTTCTTTCTACGCTTTAAAGAAATATGTTTTTTCTTTTTTTTTAACCCTTTCTAGTCCATACAGAAGATTCCCCCAGCCCCTTTCCCAAGATGCCTTCAACTGCTTGGGATACAGAAGCTTTCTGAATACAGACTGGACCACCCTGCCCTGCACTGGGCTCCCTCTGCCCCCAGTTACAGCTCCATGATGAGTCCCTGCAGGATAAAGGACATAATTTGTGCTTTTCTGTGTGGTCTTGCTCTAAGGATCATAAGTGACCATGTCCTCTGCTAGCACATGGGACAGGATAGCAGGAGAGAATCCTATCCTGATGTTAAATGCATAACCTTAGCAATGGGGTGAGGTGGTTTCATGACTTCTTTAGAGCTGTCAGGTCCCTTCCTATGTCCCATTACCCAACAGCCAGTCCCCTTCAGTAACTAATTACCCTCCAAAGTCTCCTAATAGGACACAGAGCTGTCACAGCATCAGAGGTTCACCCAAGCCTACTTCATGGGACTCCCCTCCCAAAACTGCCTTCCTGCAATATAAAACCATCATGGAGACATTCCTGGTGGCCACCAGCCTGACCCTGCAAGGTGCTGAATAGTTCCTAGAAGCTGCCAAACCTCCAGCTCCCCTGAAAGTCAATGCCAGAGGAGGGCATTCAGCTTTACATCCGCATCTCAGTGGGTTTCCTGCACTCTCACGCTCCAGCACCACCCTGCCATCCAGGAGCATGAAGGACACAAGCTATCGCAGCCCCTTGCCCCACCTAATGATGGGTCAGGATATCTGCTTGAATTATTTGGAGACACTCCTATGCGTCTCACTTCCAACACGGCTGCAAGCAGCAGCTTCTGCAGGGACACTAGGGATGCTGAGCATCCACATGCCTCCAGAACGACAAGGTGAGCCTGCCCCATGCAAGCCACCAGCACACATCCCTGCAAACATCCTGTGTAAGGAAGAGGGAATGTCCTCTCCTTGATAAATGATCAAGGCAGCCAGCCTGGACCTACAACCTTCCTGCAGGTAACCCAGCTGCCAAGGGCAGATCTTTCTGCTCTATGGCAAGCACACACATACTACACCTGTCCCATCAACACAGACTCTGCCTGCAGCAGACCCTTAGCTCCCTGTGCACCATCCCTGCTTTCCCCCAGCCAGCCACACAGCCTGCCTCAGCCTCCCTCACCTCCAAAAACAAACATAATCCACATCATAGTGTTTTAAACTAAAAGAAGGGAGATTTAGATTAGACAGAAGGGAGAATTTTTTTATCATGAGGGTGCTGAGGCGCTGGCACAGGGTGCCCAGAGAAGCTGTGGCTACCCCATCCCGGGCAGTGTTCAAGGCCAGGTTGGACACAGGGGCTTAGAGCAAGCTGCTCCAGTGAAAGGTGTCCCCGCCCACGGCAGGGGGTTGAATGTGGATGGGCTTTAAGGTCCCTTCCACCCAAACCATTTGATGGTTCTATAACCATAAGCACTAATAACCACTGCCAGGGCCCGTATCGGTCCAGGTATTCCTGTCTGTCTGTCCATATGAAGCACTTACAAGATGCAGCACTAAATGTTTAAATATTATTATGACCCCATCACACTTGATGGAAAAGCAGAAGTTTCCTGCTTGATGCACACTCCCATCTCCACTGGCAGATGCAGCTGCCCAAGTCTAAATGGAGGGACCATTCCCAAACCAGTTCCCAAGGGGAGAAGATGGCTCATGTGCATCAGCCAGGTAAAAGGCTTTACTCCTCACCACTGTCATCTACTGTCCCTCTCTCAATCCTCAACCTATGGCTGGGAAACTGCCGCAGGAGATGGCACTGATGCCGGGATGGGAAACCTCCGCAGAGGAAACACTGAGAAACCCTGAGCTTGCAAAACCCACCTGCAACAACAGACTTCCAGGCTCCGCTTGTGCCTGTCGCTGCCCTGTTAGTCAGAGTTCAACTGCCAAATGGGTTTTTCTTTCAAAAAGGGAAAAAAAGGAGGACTTTTGGTGAGTAACCCAGTTGTTTCTGCGTTTCCGATGGGCAGCGTTAATCACTTCCTATTGGCCGATAGGAATAACTTTTCCTTTCGAAATGGCACATTCATGTTCTGCGGCTTTTCTGTTTACACACATTTTGCTACCTTATGTCAACACTTGCTAATGAATAAATATATCACTCGGCTAACTGAAAATGAGGTCCTGGCAGAGGCAGATTGGATGTTTAAACCCTGCTAATAGATTTACCCTAAGATCTTCACAGAAAACCAAAGGCAAGCTTTAACCCTTCTCTCCTGCAGCTCCGAAGCCCCTGGCATCCCATGCCAGCATCACTGCTGGGTAGAGAGGCAGGCAACAGAGGCAGAAATACACACTTTTAGGGTAGAGCTGCACAGATGCAGTCAGAATTACGCCAATTTCACCCAAACCCACAAACCTTCATGACCCAGCAGACTCTCAAGAGTCTGTTACAGAACAATCCTCCCACATCCCAGCATGTGCTCGGGATGTCAAACCTAATCCCAGTATTCTTGTTTCATGCATCAGCCTTTATCTCTTGTTTCTTTCACACCGAAGCAAAACATTACCAGCTTTGCAGCCCAGCTATCTGTTCAACAGCTCTCCTTATTGCCACAAGCCATAAAAAGACTTGTTAGTCTTTCTTAAGAGTCTGCAGACTGAGGGAAACAACAGCCCGGTCTCCAAGGGGGGAAGGCTGGGACCCCATAACGGTGCCCTGTGTGTCTGGAGCAACTTCCAGTTTGGGGTTTCTTTTAATCCCGAGCAAGTGAAGAGCAGCAATTTTACAGAAACTGCTCTTTTGGTCAAAAAAAAAACACAAAACAAACCCAACAAACACCAAAACAAACAAATGACCTGACACTGCTCTTCAGAAACACATCTATCCCTGCCTCCCTGCCGCGCCGTGCCCCTCCTGCCTGCTGCGACCAAGGGGCACGACCACAGAGACCACCGTGCTCCAGCCAACGCTCCACATCCACTAATCCTGCTCTGGGAGCCGGGAGCTGCTCCTCCCCGCGCTCCCTCCCTCCCCGTTTCCGATTTTTCCCACCTCTCCTCCTTCTCCCAGCCTGATTTATCTCGCAGCCGGCAAGCTCGCTGCCAACCAGGAGTTTATGCAGACAACCGCAAAAGAGCTGGTGCCAGCCTCAAATGGGCTTCTCCCCTGGCACCCTGACATTCAATTACAAGCAACAGGCATGCAGAGTGCTGCTAAAAAAAGGTGAAACAGGTAAAATAAGTAACTTTTCAACCCCTTTTCCCAGTTTTTCTTTCCAACCTGGCAAGGCGGAGTTAGGCTCCTTTAAAACACAGGAGGATTTCTACCAACACCCTGGGATTCCCAGCCAGCAGGGAGATGCGGCGCTGGATCCCAACCTAAATCCCCACACATTCACCCAGGGGTGCGGGAGCGCCGCGGTTTACAAGTGGGTTTACAAGTGGGTTTTCCTGGCTTTCGGAGTGGCTCCAGCAGCAAAGGGAGGCCTGCGCTGCACTGCAATCCCTCCTGGAGTTTCCTGCCAGAGTTCTAAAACCCGACTTTGTGCACAGGATGCCTCAGATATATCAGATGTTAATTCTTATAGGGATATCAGGGGGGGCACAGAAGCGCAAAAGCCAGCCCAATAGCAAAATGCATCACAGCATGACAAAGGCAGGAGATGGGCTCCCCAGAGAAAGAGACTGAGAAATGGGCTGGGAAAGCGTCCGGGTCCTCCCCTCCCAAGCACCTTTTATTTTGCTTTTTATTTGTAGTCTCATTGAAAAAGTCCACTTACCAGTTGGTTTGAGAAAATCCATTGGATATCTGGAGTAGGGTGGAGGGGGAGACTCTGGAATTAGAAAAGTACAGAGAAAATAAAGGCAGAGCCATGAGAAAGGAAAAGAAAAAAAAAAAGAGAGAAAAAAGATAGGAACTTATGATAACAGTGGCATTCTTTTAGCAAAACTGTTTGTCTTAGCTCTGGGGGTTGGAGGCAGGGCAGCGAGGCGGTGATTGCCTTGATATTTAGCTGTCAGATAAACAAAAGGGGCCGTCTGGCGCCAGTCTCGCTGCTATCTGCCGCTCGGGCTGTCTGATCGGGGCCTCCTTGGCTCGGCGGAGCCACGGCCGCCCGCCCGCGCCAGGCGCCCCTAATCCCCCGGCACCGAGCGGGGACGGCGGGGAGGCAGCGCCGGGACGGGGCGGCGAGGGGGGTAGGGGGGCTAATCGCCCACCCCCCCGAATTAATAATAGCGATTAAACCATATAAACCACGGGGTTTGAGGGGTTGTTTTTTTTTGGGGGGGGGTGGGAAAATCGTAAAGAGTTTGGTGGGGAGGGGGATGAGAGGGGCTGCACCCGTCGCACACATCGGACCCCCCCTGCGCACACACCCGAGCACACACACGCACCCCGCAGCCCTACCTAGCTCGCAGAGCCGGCTGAGGTGGTACGGGTTGCAGCAGACGAGCTCGGCGTGAGCCTTGCCGTAGGATTCACAGCAACATAACCGCTTCACTTCGGAGCAGTGCCGGAGGTCTGGCCAGCGGAACACCTTGCAGAGCAGCACCGGCAGCGGGTACGAGTGCTGGCCCAGCCGGGAGTCGGCCTTGGCGGGCAGCTGCAGGCAGGGGGTCCGCGCCCCGCCGCGGGACTCGACGGCGTGCAGCAGCCCCTCCAGCTGCCGCTCCTTCAGCCGCTTCAGCACGGTGTGGGTCAGCGCCTTCAGTTCCGATTCCGCGCCCGCGGACGCCCCGCAGCCGCGGCCAGCCTTGCCCGGGCAGCACCCGCGCCCCTCGCCGCAGGCATGCGCCCGGGCCTCGGCCGCCGCCGCCTCCTCCTCCTCCTCCTCCTCACCGCCGGGCGCACGGCTCCGCCAGAGCCGCCGAACAAGCACCGAGCGTTTGGTCCTGAACATGCGGGACGAGAGGAGGGGCCCCCGGCTACAAAACGGGCATATCGTCCGCCGCGCATGAAGGGGCCGGGAACCAGTGCGCGGCGGCGGGCAGCGGCGGCCGGCGGTGGCGGAGGACCCGAGACGGGCTGTGGCATGCGCCAGTCTCCGCGCTGCGGCCGCGGGTCCCGCCGCCTCGGGCGGGGGGCTGCACCGGCCCGCGCCTCTGCGCGCTGCGGGCCGAGGAGGGCAAACCCAAACCGGTAATAATACGAGAATTAAAAAGGGAGGGGAGAAAATTTAAACGGGGGGAGGGGGGGAAGAAGTGGGGGGAGGAGAGAGAGCGCCGCTCCTCGCCCTGGTTTTTGCCCAAAAAAGAAAAGAAAAATAATAAAAGGGGTAAAAAAAAAAAAAAAAAATTAAAAAAATAATTAAAAAAATAAATCCCGTCTAGAGTCTGCGGCGCATCGCGCGGGGGGAGGCGCGCTGCTGCCGGCGCCGCGCCGCCCTGCGCGGCTGCGGAGCGCGGCTGGAGCCGCGGGGGATCCTAAGGCTCCCGGGGGCCGCGGCTCCCATCAACCCGCCAGTGCCGGGAAGGGGGGCGAAAAGGGGGAGGAAAAAGGATCGGAGGCGTAGCCGGGCGCAATCGGGAGGTTAAAATGTAAAAAATCAAGCCAAAAAGATGCCTATCCAGACAAAAAAAAATGAAATAAAGATGTCAGGACCCCCCAAAAAACACCGACCCTAAGGTGCGGGCGTCGGAATCGGTTTAGGCATCTGTCACAAAAGAGCAGCAGCAGCGCATCCAGAGTGTTGTATCCCTTCTGAAAGCCCAGCTCGTCCTGATGCGGGGGTTTGCGTGATAATTATTTTTTCCCCCTCCTTCTTCCCAAAGGATTTTAATCCACACACACACACACACAAACTAGAGTCTTGGTCCGGCTGCTACGAAAAGAAAGAAAATAAATAGAGGGATAAATGAAGTGGGGCTATGTCTCGCTTTCCTTCGCTGCCGCCCCGCTCCGCGTCCCTCCGCCGCGATACTTACATGAGTGCGGGGACCCGCCAGCCGGCCACCCTTCTCCGTGCTTCCGAAGCGTCTCTCTTGGTGCTTCTTTCCCCTTCTTGCCTGCGGCTCGTCTCCTTCCTGCTTTTCTTCTCTCCTCTTCCTCCTCCTACTCCCCTTTCTCCTCCTCCTCCTCCTCCTCCTCGCGTTTTTTTTCCCTCCTTTTTCCCCTCCTCTCTCCGCCGCCCGCTATAACTACGCGCCCGACCCGCACCGCTGCCTTCGCCTTTCTGTCTCCTTGCGGGGCAGCCGCAACGGCGAACGCAGCCGGGGATCGGTGCCGCCCCCCCCAAGCCAAGCCCGGGTCCCTCCCGGTGCCGGCGGAGGCTGCTCGCAGTGCGCAGCGGCGCGGCCGCGGCCCGGCCCCGTCACGTGGGTGTCTAGACACCGTGTCGCTCCGGGAAAAATAAATAAATATATATATCTATATATATAGATATACAGATATATAGATAGATATATGTGTGTGTATTATATTTATCTCGAACCGCCTTGCGCAAGCGGTGGATCGGGTTGCCCAAAGGTGCTGAGCACCCCCCGGCCCCCCCAGACCTCGCGCGGGTGCCGAGAGGCAGGTCCCCAGACCCACCGGTCGGTACTCATCAGTGTAGGGAGTCCCCCTCATCACGCGTGTATTGGAGAGGATTAAATACTAATCCAGCCATAAAAGTATTTCTTCTTTTTTTCAATAAAATAATAAAATACATCAGTAAATGTCACAGAATCACAGACTGGTTTGCATGAGAAGGGACCATAAAGCTCATCCAGTTCCAACCCCATGCCACGGGCAGGGACACTTCGCACTACACCAAGTTGCTCCAAGCACCGTCCAACCTGGTCTTGAACACTGCCGGGGATGGGGCAGCCACAGCTTTTCTGGGCACCCTGTGCCAGGGTCCCACTACCCTCACAAGGAAGAGCTTCTGCCTAAGAGCTCATCTCAGCTTCCCCTCTGGCAGGTTAAAGCCATTCCCCTTGTCCTGTCCCTAAAGCCCTTTCTCCAAAGCCCCTTTCCAGGTTTCCTGTAGCCCTTTTAGGCACCGGGAGCTCCCTCCCTCGCAGCATCTCCTCTGGGCTCGCTGCACCAGCCCCACGTCCCTCTTATGTTGTTGCCACACAGGTATATAGATATATAGATATATTATTCTGGGCATCAAAGAGGGCAAGGCACAAAAACCGATGATAGTAACAATACTGTGCACTTAGCACTTGTCACCAAGGAAAGGGAAAATAAGTCATTGAGTATAAGCCAATTTTCACAAAATAAGAAGCAGGAATCACCAGCACATAGCACCATGACTGTTCTTCTTGTGGGTACTACTCTGGCACCCCGGATACTCCACCAATCCCCTCTATTCCAATTCTATCAGAAAGAACCTGCAGAGGATGGGGAAACTGAGCCACCAAGGGGCAGTGTATACTGCGGTCTGCACTGGAGCCAGAACGTCTGGATAGATTTCCCAGGGCCAAGGCTCACACAGCTGGAGAAGCACCCATCCTACCAGCTCTCCCACGGATGAGAAGCAATTTTATCATATAAGACTGCTTCATTCGTTGATAAATCGGTCACCGCACTGGAAGCAGAAGCCGAAACTCTCAACGCACACCTGCTATAAACAAGTCTAGTTCTAAAACAACTGCCCCCAGCTAAACAGGACACCAACTGTAAAACACAGGGGATGGGGGGCACAAAACTAACATGCCATGCGTGCAGGGTGTTCCCAGGATTGTCTGTCCTGGATGCCTGCTTTTGGCACAGCCGGGGATAATTTTAGACCCCAGTCTCACAAATATTCACATGAGCAGGTCAGGGAGAGTCCTATAGGGCCTGGAATCACACACAGTATTTGCAGAACACACGCCTAAATTAGTTAGAAAGGGGCTACATTTGGGGCAGCTTCATTAAATGTTAATAAGACTCCAAGCACCCAGGCCCAAAATCTGCTCAAAATCTGCTTTGTGATAAAGAGCGTGAACAAAAATTAACAGAGGAAGAACATTATTTGCCAGCATCTTAAATAATAACTTAGGAAGGTTTGTTATGGAGCTGGAGTGTGGGGAAGGGGATGGACTCCTCACTTCACCTCCAAATCAATGGCACAAGTAGAACCTGCCTGTGAAATATCCCAGCAAACTCTGCAGTCACTGATGCCACAGCCAAAGCCATTGCAGAGGCTGTGAGCTGCAGGGTGCTCTCAGCATCACCTGGGGTGACAGAGGAGGTGCCAGCATCAGTGTTTGCATCCTCACTTGCAGGAAAATCCCATTGCTTTTAAAACAGTCACTTCTGCACCCTGAAAAGTGGAAATTTGGCAGTATTTTTTCAGTTTAACATCTTGTTCACCAGCCTCCAGAGTGAGCTCATGCACACTGAGGCCAATTTCTTTGTTTCTTTAGAGAGCCTCAACCCCTTTTCTACTCTGATGAATATGGGAAATTAATAGGGAAAAAGAAAACCACCAACAAAAAGCTATTTCTCATTCCCGTATCTGCTGATGAAAGACACACTGCCCATTTACACATGCAGTGTACTTTTAAAGATGTTTAAACTTTCCATGCTGCTATAAATGAGATTGACATCTTTAGGGTGATTTTCCCCTCCCTTTGCACTTCCTCTTGCCTCAATTACTTGACAACTGATTGCTTTATTGTCATGAACAGAGTGTCAGAAAATATAACATGGTGTATGCTGTGAAGGAATGGAGCACAGGAATGGGGTCCAAGAGTTAATAATATCTTTCGGGGGCCCTGCCATAGCTACTCTAGGTGATCTTGGGCACATCCCTGTTCACTGTGAGTAGGGACCAGGGCTTTGGAACCTCTGGCTGCCCATCAGTAGAGCTGGACCACCAGCCTTGCCTGCCTTTGTGGTTTCTGCAGGTGAAAATTACTTCAGAAGTGCTAAATATTAAATAACCGATAAAGAACTGCTTTCTAATTAACCCTGAAAACTTGTTTAAACAGGCCATATGTATGTGCCCATATGGAAAATACAGAAATAAGTATAATGAAGCAGATAAAAATGGGCTTGGTACCTGGGCTGGGGAGATGCTCTAGAAGGGGTGGTGGTACCCACCACCTGTGGACTGCATTGCCCCTGGGCAGGAAAATGTCAGCCTGGCTAAGAAACCTGTCCTAAAATCCCAGGGCAGGCTTGGAAGGGTCCTTTGAAGACCACGTTGTGCAACTCCCCTGCCATGGGTAAGGACACCTTCCACTAGATCAGATTTCTCAAAGCCTCATCAACCTGACTTTGAAAGTTTCCAGGGATGGGGCATCCATTATCTACCACCTTCCTGGGCAACTTTGTGCCGGTGCTTCATCACCTACTTCATAAAGAATTTCTTCTTTATGTTAAATCCAAATCTCCCCTCTTTTAGTTTAAAACTGTCACCCCTTACCCTATCACTACAGGCCTGACTAAAAGCTCTGTCCCCATCTTTCTTCTAAACCCCCTTTAAGTACTGGAAGGATGTGTATAATGCAGCACATTTCTGTCGTGTATTCGTAATGTACTGCATTCCTATAATCTATCTGTGTAATGTATGGCATCCCTCGTGCGAAACGCATTGGGTCCTGCGTGTAAAATCCCACCCAGCCCACACTCCCCATCCCTCGCCCTCAATTCTCATGGAGCTTTCTGGGGACCTTTTCCGAACCCATCTGTCTTTGAAGAGCTAAAGCCGAGTTAATTTGCATTGCAATTCAGCCTTTGACAGACAGTTGGAGCCAAGGCACTGTTAACCTAATTGTTGTGCTAACAGCACCAGGGTGTGAGACTCACCAAAGGCACTTCCAACAAAGGGGATAAAACCAGACTTGGGAAAAAAACCTTTTCCTGACATCATTACCGGGTACAAACAAACAGAGCTGATCCCTCTTCATACACTTTCGAGGCGAGGGTCAAGAACAAACACACTTTGCTCTTTTGGGGGTATGTCTCTCTTTTTAACAGCAGTGAAAAGCCATTCAGGGGAGGTAGGAGAGAACAAGCCAGGCTGAAGGCAGGGCAGAGGCAGCGCAGGCAGGCTTCTGGCACTCTCCCATCCTTTTGTGCACACTGGGAATAGTTGAGCTTGTGGCCCGGCTGCTATTTTTACGCCTATTTTCAGAGCAGAGCTCTCAAACAATGTTCAAAGTCTGGGTTACGATGCCATTTTGGCTGCGCGCAAGGTCTCCTTCCTCTCTATCGATGCAGCAAATCCAAGCTACAGGACCTCAGGTCCGCAAAGAAAACTATTCTCCGGACAAGCTTGCTAAGTGCCGAGTGTCCGGACACATGGAGACACGGACCTCATGCTCTCTAATCACGCAGTACTTTAAGCAGAAAACCATTATTGCAGCGCTGGTGCACTCCAAGACTGCGCCTGTTAGAAAGAGGTTCACTAAAAGTGGGTAAGATAAACGAGAAAAAAAAAGTCTGGTGAGATGGACCCTCACCTTTGCTTGTCAGGCATGGGGAAAAACAATTTTCCAGCCGTGGGAATTAGTCCATGCAAATCAAGTGGTCCATCATTAGCTATGGCAGGCACTGGTGCTGGCTCGGGGGGACTCAGTCATGGGAATACTTTGATTATCAAAGCACTCACACAGAGATGACTTTAAATCTGTGTTTTCTAGCTGAAATTTTGTTAGCTTTACAGTTCGACCACAACAGAAATGTGCTGGGTATGTTTTGTAGCTAGACAGGGGTTGAACACAAGTCTGTCTCTTTACCTGGATTACTTATGCCAACATAAAGGAAATTATAGATACATAAATATTAGATGTATATAATTGCTCCCTAATTCTAGTAGAATTTGCTGGTTTGAATGCAAGATGCTGGCATAACATTGCTCATCAGAGGGGAACATGCACAGTGCAGGGATCAGGCCAGACCCAGAGTGCCACAGGAAAGGGAAGAATGAACATGGGCCAGTGTCAGAGAGCAGGAGATGCTGCAGAAGAGCATCTGGTGTCCCACAACCATGATGCAAGCCAAGGGGGACAGGAGGAGCAGAGCCTGCCCTTAGTGGCATCTCCGCCATGCAGCATCCATTAATCCGTGTCAAACCTACATCTTTTCCCGCGTCACACCACTACCCCACAGATAACCAGTGATGGCAGTACAGTGTCACCAGCGGGGACATGAGGTTCAGTCCAGCTCTGGCTGAACGTCACTGGTGGGATTTGTGACCTGGAGGTGAAAGGAAAGGGATTTAGGTCAGGCTGTCTGGGAGGGGATGACCCGGGGGCTGGGGATTGCAGCACAAGGGAACGTGATGCCATTTGGGAGTCAGTGGCCAGACAGAGAAGATGCTGTTGAGGGGAAAATGTAAAGGGCAGGCTCAGAAGCAGGTGCAATATTTGACTTTACAGATAAAGGAAAGCCTGCAAATCCCTTTTGCTGGAACCTACTATGCTGAGAAGAGACTGGCTTCTTCCTTCAGCAGTCCAACTCTGAGATCCCAATGCCTGGGGGATCTGTGTGTACTCTTAAGTGGAGCTTCTTAAGATCTTGCAGAGTGGGAGGCTCAATATTCATATAAAACACTCAATGTTAATGTATCGCGTTATGTGTAACTCCTTCATTTGTATTTTCCTTGTACTTCTGTGTTTCAGATGTCTGAAATAGTAATTTTCTGGTTTTAGACTTGTTTTGGTGGGTAAGCTCTCAAAAAAGGTGTGGGTTTGTTTTTTTTTCCTATCAGGAAACAGCAAAATGGCTTTGCAAGAATGGCTAATACTGCTGGTATCCCACTTTCAGCATTTTGATGTGCAAATAAAATAATGGTGTAAATAAAAATCTTTATCTCAAGTAAGTACATTTGCCAGATGCATAAGCTGCAATGTTTTATCTGTAGTTACCTACACTTGTAGTTAACTATGGCAAGCTCTGGACCAGATAATGGGGTATATGGAAAGAGCTGGGGGTGTTGTTGGAAACAGGGGTGTCTTGTCACCCTGTGATTCAACCTGCTGAAACCTCTGGAGTCCAGAGTGGGGATGGAGACAGCTGCTTTCTGGATTCAACCAGTGGTCCTGGTTTGCCTGTAGAGCCCAGGGTACATCCCACATGTGGATCCACTGCCTCCCAGATGCTGAATATATGGTATATATGACATTACACCTATGCCAGGGGGGACTGGGGAAAGGTGGGGTGTCCATCAAGTTAAAAGCAGCATTTCAATCCTAACATTATCAGGCTAATTCCAGACTTTTGGTGGGAGGTATCAAGCCTTAGGGGTGATTTATCAGGTCCTGAAAGTTGGGCTGCTCAGATGGCAGCCACAATGCAGGGATGTGCCCTTCCTCAGCATCAGCTGCTTACCCAGGAGAGGGGGCTGAGGTGCCCCTGCTATACAGATCACTTTACCAGCAGGAAGAACAATTCCTTCTTTAAAAATCAAACAAACCTGGTCAAACTCTTTTTTGGCTGAAGGAAATAACTGTAAAAGGGATAGGAGATAGCAGGCGAAGCAAGAGGAAAATCACCAGCTTCTCTATTTCCTATTGCTAGCAGGTAGGGGTGTAATTTTGGAGTTCCTTCCTTTTTAATGGGATAGGTCATAACCTTACCATCATTTATGTGTCTTTCTGTATTTATTGCAGAGGCCCGGCCAGATGCAGTGTGGAGCTGATATATTAGCCATGTCCTCATGTGTGGTGATATACCAGCCTGTGCTTTCACAGTCTTTTCCAGGGAAAATTCACACTGACTCTAATGGGAATTTTCTCCAGAGAGCGGGATCAGCCTGTTGTAAAAAGAAAATTCTCATGTTTATGATGGGTTGTTGAGGAGCAGCATTCTTCATACTGACCTACAGGTTGACATAAAAGAAGAAGTCAATGATCAGACATCTGTGAGACAAGCCCTTTATAAAGCACTGACATTTTAAGTGTTGAGTATTCCAGTTAACATTCTGCAACAGTCTGAGTGAAAGAACATGGTTTACCTTTCTTGTCCTCAAATACAAGTTATAATTTAAAATAACAAATTCTCAAATGCTTCCTTATATTCCATTTCTATGGAAGCATTATATTTCTAATAAACATTTTGGGCTCTCTATGATCATAGAATCTCAGAATGGTTTGGGTTGGATGGGACTTCAAAGACCATTTAGTTCCACTCCCTACCATGGGCAGGGACACCTTCCACTAGAGCAGCTTGCTCCAAGCCCCTGTGTCCAACCTGGCCTTGAGCACTGCCAGGGATGGGGCAGCCACAGCTTCTCTGGGCACCCTGTGCCAGCACCTCAGCACCCTCACAGGGGAGAACTTCGGCCTAAGAGCTCATCTCAGTCTCCCCTCTTTCAGGTTAAAGCCATGCTGTGCTTAAAAAGGAATGGAGAAAATGTAAACAAAAAATGCTTCCAAATCAGGACAGTTGCACACAGATAATGTCTTTTATCTGTAAGTCCACAATGACTTAGTCATGAAACACCTGCATGGGTGAAAAAAACATTTTTGATAACCGTTTCTTCAGTCTCTCAACAATAAATGAACAGCCAAAAGCTAGTTTGGAAAATAGAAGGGAAAAACGAAGCATCATTTTTCAATAGCAATGATCCAGGTAGAGTAATTAAGCACTGGTTGTGGTGAATGCTCTGTCAATAATAACTCTGAGGTGAGGTTTTGGTGGTATTCAGAAGATGAGCTCCAGCTGGTTTAAACCTGCATGGATGCAGGGAGTTACTCAGGTGGGTAGTCTAGACAGTAGGAATAGCCCTTCGAACCCGATAATTTATGAATTAGTAGGGCCAGTGTATTAAAACAGATAATTGAAAAGTCCTCATTTGTCTAAATGCAGGGTTGGGATTTTTTAATAGCTTTTTACAAATATTAAACCCAACAGAAATGCTTTCATGACAAGTCTTCCACATGGCTCAGTTCCAGGGAAAACAACCTGCTCGGAATTGAGTTTTTCTCTAAAATATCCAAGTGATGGAAATTGCTTGAGAACTGAAGAGTGGCACTGAAATGAAATTGGGACCCTATCTCATAGTCGCTACCTCCAGGATAAGAAACTTCCTTTGAACCTGAAATAAGGGAGTTTCAGGTAAACAAGAAATATAATATTGGACAGGAACTGACTGCCCTGATTTCATAATCCAAATTGCATAAACTGAAGAGAAAAAAAAAAAAAAAAGAGAAGAATTAATAGTAAAGTGTAATATGAAGATTGGATTTTCAAAAGCACGTTACCCAAACCTGCACATTCATTTCATCTGGAGGGGAAGGCATGACATCTGATAGCATGATTAATCCAAAGGAGGCCCAGACTTGTTCTCCTCATTTAAGAGGAAAAATTACATATTCTGTGAGAAGGTAAAAGCAGGCTTACTGGCTGAGATACCTGTGGGCTGCTGGATGGGTGTCCTAGGGACTGCAGAACATGGCCCACCATTTCCCAAATATATTAATATTTAGTGTTTAAAAAAAACCATAAAACTAACCTTTGGATCTTAAATATCCAAAGGATATTACAGGCATGCTTTTTTTTTATTTTACTTTTTTTTATTATTTGGAGGGGGTTTGCTGGCATAATTTAATGACATAAAGTTGAACCACCCACCACCACCTATGGAAAGGAGAACTGATTGGAAGCAAAAAGGGAAAGTGCACTGTAATGGATCCTATGCTAACTATGCCTTCAAGTTCAAAGACAGAAACAACTTTGAGATTAAAGGGTATCAACTACACTGAGCCAATTTGCTTTTTCTTTTCGTTTTATAAGCCCTTGTGATGGTATTTAACTGTGACTCTCCCCAGCACCTTCCAACACTCACCCCTCCAAAATCATAGGGACAGGCAAGAGCATTTCACAAAGAATTAGAGGACGGCTTTATAGCCATTGTTTAAAAACGTAATTAACACTGTGTTTAAAGCAAAAGTGAGACAATTACCACCTCCTAAAGGCCTTAAGAAATCCGAGCTGCAGACCTCCTGCCAGACTGAGTGATATCACCGGCACCATAAACAGAGGTTTGCAAGAACCATCCCATTCACAGCCCTAACAGCTTTTGTCCTTACGTGCTAAGTATTATTATTACTATTACTCTCTTTGTTTATGGTGATGTGCTAGGAAGTCTGCAGCTCAGGTTTCTCAAGACCAAACTGACTCCTATGAGGAGTAGCCTCACCTCCGAAAGGCGTCAATATGAGTTGAGAGCTTCCAGGACATCCGCACCAACACTTGTTCCCCTGCGAGGTAACTACTTAGGGAGGTAGTTTTGTTAGATAGCGGCACTAATTCCAACATGTGCTTAACTGACAAGATGGGTTACATTAGCCTGATTACAGATTTGACCCATATATATGGCAAGCAAACATACAGTTGGCCATTTATGTTTGCATACTCAAGCTTTTCTTGCTCTGCGCCAGTCACAGGATCTATAAATTCAATGCAAAATTTGAATGGAAGGAGAAAGAAGGGACAGCAAGGTCTCAGCTTCTCGGTTTAAAGCTAGAAACATCACGACATGTCCTGATACCTCTGGTGAGTCGCAAGGTGAGTGTCTAAGTGCGTCGTGTTCCTCCATCTGAATGGTGAGCTCGTCAGCCTGCAGAACAGCAGGTCGGGTAAATTGGCACTGATTTGAAGGTTCGTTTAGTTTGGACTAGTTAAACTATTTTGCAACATATTCATTACAGAAAAATGTGGTAAATTAGATTAAGTAAAGCCAGAAAGCCCTCTTAATTGCTTTGACTTACCGTGAACACAAGACTACTCAGTGTCTCAGGAGCAAGGACGTGTTTTCTGTACATCTGAACTATTTTAAGCGCTACCTCCCTGCACACAGAATTCTTGCTGACGACACTCCCCGGAGGCTCTTACACAGCACCCGCTGGGATGCCGCCCTGGGATAAAACAGATGAGCTCCCACACGGCTCCAGAGCATCTTCCAGTTGCAGCAGCGTGAAATGTTTGCTAAGATTAAATAGTAAAAACATGGAATCACAGGTTGGATTATTTGGTCCAACCTTTCTAGGCAACCATGACCTAAACTGGAGGTACAGCCCACCGCCTCCCTGCAGAGATTATTCCAATGGCTGGTTGTTCTCACTGGGAAAGATTTTTCCTTTGCGTCCAGTAGGAATTTGTCCTGGAGCAACCTGTACCTGTCACACTCGTATTTGCCATAGGACCCCTTGTCAAAAGGGAGTCTCTGTAGCCACCCTTTAAATACCGGAACATGGTGATTAAAGACTCCCCTGGGCCGCCTTTGATCAAGGCTGAGGAAATAAATAAAAACAAAAAAAATCATTGACTATCACGTGATAAAAATAATAAATTAAAAAACCCAAACACGCAATTAGTTACTATTTAACACATACTGAAGCCGTTCGTCCTCTGCTCGGCCCCACACTGGGTCCCCGCCGCAGCCCGCCCCGCCTGCCTGCCCGCCGGGCGCTGTCCCGGTTGGGGACCCCCTCCATGGGGACCGGGCACCGCCGCGGGCTTGGGGATTCCCTCCCGCCGCCCTTCGCCCTCAGCCGGCCCCGCCCGACGCCGCCGCTCCGCGTTGCCACATCCCGCCGCGGCCGTGACTCAGGCGGCGGCGGCGGCAGCGGCGGCAGCGGGTGCTCCCGGCCCGGCCGTGCTGCGGGGAAGGGGCCCGGGCAACGGGCGCAGAGCCTGGGGCTGCGTCGGCCTGTACGGGCCTGCTTGGGCCTGCTTGGGCCTGTGCGGGCCGCGGGGAGATGGTAAAACCAAAACACGGCAAATTTCAGTTTGAAAATACAACATTTTCCCATTAAATAACACAATTTGAGCGGAGATTTTAATCTCACATAGGTTTTCGTCAAGTACGTGCTTTAATCGCTGCTCTGCCCCCCTGCCTCAGTTTACCAGGTCTTACTAACAGGGTCCTCACCTCATTACTCCAAGTCGTATGAACTGTGTGCAGTATAAAGAAGCACAATTAATCCTCCTGCACACACAAAACATGAGTTTTTTGCTATTAACATGTCTTCTATGGTGTGCAGCCCTCCAGAAACCAGAACGAGAAACAGCTAAGAGGGAGGAAATCCCATAACAAAGATAGTTCCTCTCAACCCCAAAAAGAAGGTCTGTCATTAGATGACATGGTCTTAAAGGAATGCTGTAACGTACAGAAATCCCATGCCATTGTATGTGCCCCTGAGGGCAGTGTGTATTTCTGTTCCAGTATCTTCCAAGGCACTTCACCTCTATTCCCCACACTGGATAGGAAAACGTGACCTCAGAGACTGTTTGACATTGATTGAAACAATCATTTCGCTGTTGATGAAATATTGGTCACTTATTGGTATTTACATAGACATTTATAAGATGGTGTTCACCTTGCCTAAATTCAGCAAGAAGAAAGTTACGCTTGCGGTCTGACATTGTCCACAGTCTCTTTATGGTCACTGACAGGACACAGACCCCTCAGACACCAGTTCCTCTCCCTTCTCCTCAACACCCACCGCAGTATGGGTGAGACACCCTTGGTGGGACCCCGCTTGCGCCCCGGAGGTGCGTGGTGCAACACCAGGGTACAGCACAGGCGCGTGATGCACTGCAGCTCAGCGAGGGCTGGTTCAGGGACCACTGCTTTGCACCCAAATGCTTGCATCCAGGGAGGTCTGCAGCAGTGGGGGAGATGCTGCCGCTGTCCAGCTGGGAGCAGCTGTTCCATGGAATCCCAGACTGGTTTGGGTTGGAAGGGAGCTTAAAGCTCCTCCAGCTCCAACCCCTGCCACGGGCAGGGACCCCTTCCACTGGAGCAGCTTGCTCCAAGCCCCTGTGTCCAACCTGGCCTTGAACACTGCCAGGGATGGGGCAGCCACAGCTTCTCTGGGCACCCTGTGCCAGCGCCTCAGCACCCTCACAGGGAACAGCTTCTGCCTAAGAGCTCATCTCAGTCTCCCCTCGGGCAGGTTAAAGCCATTCCCCTTGGCCTGTCCCTACAGGCCCTTGTCCCAAGCCCCTCTCCAGCTTTCCTGCAGCCCCTTCAGGCACTGGAGCTGCTCTCAGGTTTCCCCTTCAGGAGCCTTCTCTTCTCCAGGCTGCCCCAGCCCAGCTCTCTCAGCCTGGCTCCAGAGCAGAGCTGCTCCAGCCCTTGCAGCATCTCCATGGCCTCCTCTGGCCTCGCTCCAACAGCTCCACGTCCCTCTTGTGCTGCTGCCCCAGAGCTGGATCAGGACTGCAGGGGGGGCTCTCCCCATAGCACAGCAGAGGGGCAGGATCCCCTCCCTGAGCTGCTGGCTGGCTGTACCGAGCCTGTGTGCCCAGCCACAGCTGCCACTGAGGAGCTGCGGGCTGTAAGCTGCAATATCCCGTTAAAAAAGTGAGGGCATGTCCGCGTTTGATGGAAAGCAAACAATTATATGGCGTTCTGCCAGGTGATCCTGCTGAGCTCGGAGCCAGCTGAGCACTGAAGTGGGGACATCCTCTTGCAAAAGCCCATGTCCTGTTGCTGCCTCCCTCTGCGTGGCTGTGGGGAATCCTGACTCCTGGCCTCCCTGAAAACCTATTTTCATGCAAAGGGAGTGATACTGCCGAAGTTCTGCATTTTAATTCATTTCTGGTTATCAGTAGGAATACGGGAGGCAATGAATGTGTGGAGGTGAAGGGATTGAGTTGTGGAGTGACGGTGCTCAAAAGCCCAAATGGTCTAAGAGCAGCCATTCACTTGCCAGTGACAGGAACCTGTTCCCTCTGTCTCTAGACTGAGGCGCCCTGGTTTCCTGCCTTGCAGTGGTTCTCTGCACCCCAGTCTCTCTTGCATGTCTGCCTGTTCCCTCTATACCACTATCTCCATTATTTGTCTGGGAGTTGAACTCAGCTGGCCGGGTGACCCATCATGGTGTTACGCTGGTAGGTGTCAATGGGAGTCAGCAGCCACTTGTCTGATCTCCAGATGATTACAGAGGCATTTGAAATCCTTTTTGCTTCCCCATTGCTTCCTCTTTCTGATTTCTGCTTCCCTCTTCCCATAGTTAATTAAGTTTTGCACCCCAAGAGCTGAACTTCCCAAACTAAGCCATCCTTTATGTTTAATTTTTTTCATTACGGGTAGCAAACAGCTCTGCTGGTCACTGAGAAACATCCACCTCTCACCCACCGCCCTGCCTGTCCTTACAGGAGCAGAGATGAGGCTGAAAACTGCATTCCGATGACACAGAGAGAGGATTGAAGTGGGCAGAGAAAAATAACTTGCATCTGCCAGAACACTGAATACTTCGGGGTCAGTGCTACTGAGTCATTAATAAACAGGTATATATATATCTATGTAAGGTACAGAAGGATCATACAGCTGGCTGTAACCCTCCATCGTATTGCACGAACTCATAATGTGTTATATGAAATAGTCCCCCAATAGCCTCTTTGGGCAATAAATAGCATAGTACACTAGAATGAAAACAATTCAATTAAAAGGTCATTTTATGAATGAAGCTTTGGAAATAGAAAAGTACTTTTCCATCTTGAGCACGGTGCATTGCAGAAGGCACACACGTAAGAGCCAAAATAAATTGCTTTGCTATGTTCCTGATAACGGTGTAGGGTCGCATTTGAACTTATATACGTGCATATGGAGGTGCCCCCTCTTTGTAATTCCCAAACACCTCTTCTTGAGCCACAGTTTGTAAAATGATATTTCTATATTTACTTATGCATCTATTTAAAGAGGAATCCCTCATAATTACTCACCACACTGATAGATGACACTGTTTGGCTGTGTTTATTTAGTTTCTATTAGCGATTGGCAAAAAGTCTACTGTGGCTTCAAAGCAGATATAGATGAATGACCCGCTGATCATAAAATAAAGTATGATGATCTTTTCTAGGCCTCGTGGGAAATGGCATATAGAGGTGACACATATCACTAACTCCTCCTGTCACTTTGTGATATAATATTAAATCCAGTCATTCTGAGAGGGTTGGCTTGAGAGATGTCCAGAAAGTGACAGGAGTCTATGGTATAGAATAAAGAGAGGAATTCAAGGGAAACTTGGCTTCAAAACACGAGTTCAGTTCTCTTTGCAGGTGAGAGGTCTGTCTCCAAGTCCCCTATCATGGATGATGGACAAAATATTATCTACCAGAATGTTAATCTCAAATTCCTGGCTTGCTTTTTACCTGCTGGTACATGCTTCATACTCTTGTGAACCCAAGCACAGGCCATGCTTTGCATAGCTTCACTCACCCAGAGCTTGTTCATGGAGGGATGTGGATGGCACAGAGAGAAAAGCATCTGGACTGGGATCAAAGGACATGGGAAAATGTAGTGGTTGTCATCATGTCTTTCAGTAACCCCAGTAGCTCTGCTCGTGGTGTACTTGTAGAGTGTCTGTTCTGCCCTTTTCCTGGCTTGCGTCTTGGTGCAAGCACCCATCTGGTATGGCTGTAGGTGAATATTCTGAATTAATACTTTTTCAGCATATTTAACCCTCCAGGTGAGGATAGGTAGTCCAGGAACTTGCCTATGCTCACAGGAGTTAGCAGCAGAATTATATCACTGCAACCAGGTAGCAGTGGTATTGCTCAGGAAATACATCTCATACTGACTTGAAAACTCTTGTGTATCTTAGCCTCATCTCCCAGGTGGCATGAGCTAGAAAAGCAGGTGGAGCTGTCTGTGCTGATAATCAAAGTTTGCACTACTGGAAGGGTATTTCTGCTGATACACATTAGCTCTGCCAATAAATCCTCAAGTCTTATCAACAAGCTACTTCCTTTCTTCTCATTTCCAAGGTGGTTCATGGCCCTCTGTTGACTTACCCATCCAGCTGAATGCTAAGCCATTCATGGAGCAGGGTTCTCTTCAGAATGAAGAGATCCTCCAGGATTGTAAGGGTGCTAACACTGACAGATAACAAATAATACCAATTACGATTTTCTTGTGATTTTTTAAAACATGAGTGAGAGGAAGGTAACACAGATGCAGAGGATTGAGTTACTTAGTTC